CCGGTTTCTGCAGGCCAGGCCAAGGGACCCCACCAGTGCAGGAATCTGTGCACCAGGCCTCTAGTTTTAAATAATGCCAGAGCATCCTATCCTAACAAGGTCTGCCCTAGTGAGAAACTAACCAGACCCTCATTTACAGGGGTTTTATCAGAGCCTAAATGACCAGCCAGCATAAGGAAATACTCAAAGCCCACTTTAGCCCTCCTGTCCCACCTAATGAAGAGGGAAAAATAATTAACATGTAAAATTCAGTCCAGAAACTGAGACCTACTCATAGAACTATAGAATGCTTCCTCTACCTCCACACCTTACCATATCATGGAAGGCCTATTTATAGCAGTTCCTTTTACTTATTACTGTGGTCAGCAAACCAGGGCTCGCCAGCCACATGCGGTTCTTTGGCCCCGTGAGTGTGGCTCTTCCACAAAATACCACAGGGGGGCGCACACGTACAGTGCGATTGAAACTTCATGGCCCATGCGCAGAAGTCAGTATTTTGTGGAAGAACCACACTCAAGGGGCCAAAGAGCCACATGTGCCTTGCGAGCCGCCCTTTGCCGACCACTGCCCTAGTACATCCTGTCCAACGATCAAAATTATAGGACATACTAAAAGGCAAAAAAAGTTTGCTGAGAGGAAGCACCAGAACCAGGCTCAGATATAGCAGGGATGACAGAATTACCAGACCAGGAGTTTAAAATAATTTTAATGACATTAAGGGCTCTAATGGATAGACAATATACAAGAACAGATGGGCAATATTAGCAGAGATGAAATTTCTAAGAAAGAATAAAAAAGAAATGCCAGAGGTAAACACTGTCACCAATAGAGAATGCCTTTGGTGGGCTTATTAACAGACTAGAAAAAGCTAAGGAAAGAATCTCTGAGTTTGAGGATATCTCGACAGAAACTTCCAAAACTCAAATGCAGAGAGAAAAAACAAAACAAAAAAAAATAAAAACCCCAAAACAGCAACAACAAAAAACCAGACTATCCAAGAATTGTGGGATAACTACAAAGGGTGTAACATATATGTAATAGGAATAAAAGAGGAACAGAATATTTGAAATGACCGAGAATTTCAAGTAAATGTCATGCACATAAAATTTTAAAAAACACACACCAAGTAGAATGCCAAAAAACTTACAACTATGCATATCATTTTCAAACTACAGAAAAATAAAAAATCCTTAATACAATAAACTTGTGTTTCGTGAACTCACAACTGTAAACCTACTTTTGCCCCACCCTGGATATGAGCCCACTACTAGAATGTCTCTACTAGAGGCATACCTCTACTAGAATGGACTGATCAAACAGGCAGAAATCAGTAGGGACATACAATAGTTTAAATCAACACCACCATCAACTGGCTAACCCTGACATCTATAGACTACATCATGGGATACATATTCTTCTCAAGCTCACAAAGAACATCCATCAATTAGATCACATTCTGAGCCACAATCACACCTTCACAAATTTAAAAGAAATCACCGTGTATACTCTCAGACCACAATGGAATCGTACAAGAAACCAAAAACAGAAAGCTGGGAAAATCTCCAAACACTTAAGAGATTAAACAGCACACTTCTAAATAAGACACAAAGGAGGTTAGAGAAATTTGAAAGTTTTGAAATAAAAACAACTTATCAAATTTTGTGGGATAAAGTGAAAGAAGTGCTTCGAAGGGAATTTATAGCATTGGATTTATGTACAGGTTTCTCCACTATCTGAGAGTTCCTACGAAATCTTTCACAAGCTGAAATGGCATAGTGAAGAGTATCCCCTGCTTTCTGAAAGTTCGTGCTCCACCGCTTCGCTTTACAAAAGACCTACATTAAAAGCAAAAAACCTCTTTGGATTTCTCTGGCTTAACAAAAACAAGTAATAGTGTAGGTCGTCTGTTAAAATCTAAGTGGCATGACATCAACGAGATACCTGTATTAGAATCAAAAAACATCAGCTAAGCTTTCACCTTAGGAAATGAGAAAATGAGGAGCAAACTAAATCCAACCTAAGCAAAGAAACAATTAACCAAGAGTAGAAATCAATGAAATTGAAAAGAT